AGAGAAGCTATTGCTATTGCTTTCTTCAGAAAATGAAAAGAAATTAAGAAGGTGGATTTGTATCCATTTCATCTCTAGTAATTTTTAAAAGTCCAGTTGTATCTGGAGCAACACACACTGATTTTATTTTATTTTTACAGCAAGAAAACATGCTTATTCTCTTGGTACAAGCGACTCCTAAAACTCAATAAACTGTGTTCACCAAACATCCACCCAAAAGGGCAAAGGCCAAACAAAATAGTTTGGAATTAGGGAACTTTCCTCTTCCTGCCACAAGCACTGTTTGTAAACATCTCACCTAAACGTGTCTTTTACTGGGCTCTGTACACTGTGCTTAGAGGCTGGCCAGGATATCACTTTAAATGCCTGAGTATTTGAAAGGAACGGCAATTGAAATCACAACAGTTTAAGTAAATACAATTGCTAAGTAATGCTGCTGCCAGATATGTGAAACTGCTGAAAGCAATGACAACACCCAGTTGTTCCCCATTAACTTTCTCACATTAATATTTATTTATTTATTTATTTATTTATTTATTTATTTATTTATACCCCGCCCCTCTAGACCATGTCTACTTAATATCAATAACAACTTCTCCAGCAGACCTCCAACTTTCCTCCTGGTCTCACCTGTGGGTTCTTTGATCAGCTCTTCCCATCTACTGCGCTTCAAGACTGTCTGTGTGGACTATAATGACCATTCTTTTTTCTCTGAGTAGTCAGCAAATGAATGACTGTTTTGCAGGTTGCTACAGTTTGGGCTGCAAGGGGATTTCATGTCTTCTTTCAGAGAAGCTCCACAGCCTCAAAGAATCACTACAGGACAAGCAGTTGGTGCTTTACACACTTCTGAAGAGGGCAACATAGGTCCTACTAATGGACTGTTTGTGCCTTGTGTAGAGGGGAGGGAGTCATGTTTTTGACACATGTTGAATGGGTCCCTTGCTGCCAATGCAAGAGGTTGCTGTTCGAGAGCTGATACTGAACTCCGTAACAGAAACATTTAAGCTGACACTATGTTTCTGTGTGTTTTATTTCATTTTGGTTTTGTCTGGATCAAACCACCAAGGATTTTGTGGAATGGTCACTGTAGTTCAGTAGTTCTCAACTTTGGGTCCCCAGATAATTCCTGGACTAAAAAGTCCCAGAGGCCTTCACCACTAGCTGTACTGGCCAGGATATCTGAGAGTCGTAGTCCAAGAACATCTGGGGACCCAAGATTACGAACCACTGCTGGAGTTACTTCTCTGCCCCCTCTATTTCTATTTTCATACTTTATATGCTGCTGCTCAGACAACTCAGGATCCCAACTACTCACACAAACAAAAGCCCCACAACAAAATAACAGCAATTGTAGCATAAACCACAGAGTTGTCATGCTTGTGTGATGAATGCATAACACCACAGTACTACAAGAATGGGGTATTCATAAAGCCTGACTAACTTTACTGCTGGATAGTGGAGTGGTTTAGGCCTCTGCCTGCAAAGCCAGAGGTTGGGAGTTCAATTCTCCTCTGCGCCTCCTTGACAGTAGTTGGACTTGATGATCCATAAGGTCCCTTCCAACTCAGTAGTTCTGAGATTATTATTTACTTCTTTTTCATTTTTTAATGCTCGCAAAGAACAGCATAGACACTTCTCTGCAACTTCCAAGAGCAATACACAGAGCAAACAGATCACTCACAGCACCACAAAAATCTGTGCACAAATTAAGATAGAACACAAACCTCAAAATCCTCACATTGTATGCAGGCCTTGTACTGTAAAGTCCTAACTAGCAGAAGTCAGCCTTCATCCTCAAACACCATCTTGAACAGCAATGGTTAAGAGAACAGAGGAAACTACTGAACAATGTTAACATGAGGTTAAGCATGACTAATGGAAACATAATATGCAGGCTGTGGCTGATAGCTGTGCAACCCTTGAAGGATATAATTACCTTGATATTCTGATAGTGTCATGCTATTATCACTTATCACATTATCAGTTAGCATCGCTCATTGCCCCCTACCTAGCAATGTAATCCAAGGTAATAAACCTGTTGAGTGAAATGAATTTGTCAACTCTTCATGATAATCAATGCCTATCACTCAATACAGTTACTGGTAGCATCTATTAAGTGTCTCTTCTTGCAAATAAGCACATCAAGAAGAAGCACTGATTTGTGGTCGCTGTTTTGGATGACTAGCAAACTGAAAGGATCATTCCCATTTTTGTGTAATATTCCTGGCAATATTGACTGCGCCCCGCAGTATCTTACTTCAATTTTTAAAACGTTTTCAATCTTTACAAGGTGCCATATCAGGAAGTATTAAGAAATCTTAGTGGCAACCGCAGAAATAATTTTCACTAATGACAATGGGTGCCAAGTCAGAAAATATAATAAGTTTATGACATTTGTGACAAAGTTCACCCTTCCTCCAAGGTTCCCAGGACTGCAGCCAGTGGGTTATCCCACTCACCTAGTCTTATGTCTGCCTACTCAACAAATAAGGCTTGAGGAAATTATTGGGCTTACTTTCAGGTAGGGGTATGTACAACTGCAGTCTCAAATGTCCTGTAATGCTGAGTCCAGCCAGGGAGCATAGTAGCTAATTCTGATTGGTACAAAATGAGTAAATCTACTTGAGTCCTATTGGGGGGATGACACATTTTAGTGTCAACCTTCTGTATACCAGAGCCCCCTTCTCTAAGCTCCCGATATTATCATTAGTCAACCACAAATATATGTTTAAATGTAAAAGGAAGACATCTACACATGATAGTTTTGCAAGGTGACAACAGAAGGCAAGCAATACATGGAACAAGTATGTCATCTTTCAATATAAAATGCAAACATGAATGCAATCCAATTGGGAGGAAAATAAGATACCAAGTGGATGTAACTCACTTCTACTTGATAATGATGGCTATGGCACATACATATCTAAGTGTAAACTACTACTACTCTTTGTAGCAAGAGAGCCACATCCAGCCTCTATTCAATCCAAATTGATAGGATCAAGTATACAAATCTGAGTTGCAGGCAGCCTTGTGTTTTCAGAAATGGAGATCTTTCATTGCCCATCCTTCCCAGTCATGTATCACTAGATGTAATCTGATACCCGACTACCTATTGATAATTCATTCCATCTGCAATTTCCATTACAGCTGCAAATCTCATGGCCACATCTGGCCTAATTCCATTCCTTCAGAAACAGAAAAAGTAACACCAAGTAAAATAAAGAGGAAAAGAAATAGAATCAAAGTAAGAAACAGTACATAGAAATATTTTTGTTGGTAGCAGTGTTGTAGTAGTTGCATCTGCCTTCTAATAGGCCCGCTCAACAGACCTCTAAATCTATTATTTTAATAAACGAAAATCTAAGTGGAATAACTTACATCACTATTTCACTCCAAACAAGTATATGGCTACAGTGATGAGACAATCCACACTGTTAGTTTTCCACACATATTATGAGAGGATAATATGGGGAGGGAGGGAAACTTGCACAGTGCTCTAGGCTTACTAGGAGATGGGTAGAATAAAAATATACTGAATAAATAAAAATTCTGTTTGTGCTGCCACTCTGAAGCCAAGTGAGGCATTACCATAACCCAACTTGATAGGAAGGAAAGCTGTCTGTGTTAAATTCAGATGCTAGCGTCTGGCTCCAGGCACAAACCTGCAAAGCAATAGCATCTTGTTGCTACTGAACATCTTCTTTGCCCCTCATAAGACAGATCCAAACAACTATGCTTTTTCTCTGGAATCAGAGGGAACTGCTATGTGACAAAAGTCTTTATCGCTTCATATTTTAGGTGGTAAAGTGAAATGAGGCCTCCCAGTTATTCTCTGAGCATGAGACAGGTCTCTCTTAGGGGAAAAGGACTGGGCAGGGTTGTCAGAAATCTTTGTTTTCTTCTTCTCCCCCTAACTTTCCCACATACTACCCACAAGCTTCAGTGGTTCCTGTGCTCTGAGAGATTCTGAGATGCTCCATTTCCCATGCTCACTCTGTTCACACACATTGGCACTCAATGTCCAATAGGCTTAGGCAGTGTGCTATGTGAAATGGGTGTACCTTCTAGCCTAGAATGAATCCCAGAATACTCTGCTGCATATAGAAAAAAACTAAATACTTTCCTTAAACATTTCAAGAAGTGCAATATAGAAAGCTATGTAACCTGGTTACATCATGTGTATATCATTAACAGTGGGGATAACTGGCTCAGTTGCTCCTCACTTGTTTTTATTCTGTAGGGGTGTTTTTGCTTCCAAATGATGCTTCAAGGTTGGGTTGGCTGATATGGCTTGTATCATCCTCTGAACTACTTTCCCCTCAGGCAGAGGACAAGTGAAAGTGCTTCCAGATGAACTGTCTTTGTTTTGTTTTATCTTATTTACACATCAGGAGATGTGAATGCATTTTTCTAAGAGAAAACTTAATCTTATGGGAGAACTCAGGCCTAATGTGAATATAACCACCCAAAGAGCATCAAAGAGAAAAGAAATTAGCATTCATGACTAAGTCCACTGAACAATTTATATATATATACACTATCCAAGAAACAGTCACTCCTAAGTCCGTACTGTGTCATAATATTTTTGTTGTTTGTTTAGTCGTTAAGTCGTGTCCGACTCTTTTTGATTCCATGGACCAGAGCACGCCAGGCCCTCCTGTCTTCCACTCCCTCCCGGAGTTGGGTCAAATTCATGTTGATAGTATTGATGACACTGACCAGCCATCTCGCCCTCTGTCGTCTCCTTCTCCTCTTGCCTTCACACTTTCCCAACATCAAGATCTTTTCCAGGGAGTCTTCTTTTTCATGAGATGGGCATAATATACTTAACTATATAAACATTACAAGCAAGAAACTGACTATGGAGAAATACAGAAATGAAACATGTCAAGAAAAGAAACGAATTGTTACATAAATAGATTTTCAAGGCAAAATTAAACGGAGGAACTATTATAGTGTTACTACCATAGAGATGTTTTGGGGAAAACAATTCCTACCTGTTGCACTTCACTTTCTCCATTTGAGATTTTTTCTGTATACACGAAGGAGTTGAATATCCGCTGAAATAAAATTAAGACAGAAGTCTTAGAACCATTGCAAAATGGTGATGACTCAGCATACATCCAAGAAAAAACTGTTGTATATAAATCAGGTAATATAAAACAGCAGATTAAAGATGAAAAGGATTGTGATAATACAGACTGAACAACCAAGCCTGTTTCATTAAGTACACATATGCTTCCATAATTACATTAAACAGATGTTTATGTTTTGTGGAAAAGTATAGGATATTGCATCCAGAGTGCCTGCCATGAAATCCAAGTGGTATAAATTTAAAAGAGTTATGCTTCAAATTTTAAATCAGTTTTTTTTACCCAAATATAGTAATTGTTTACTTATACCATACATTTAATGCAATGCAGTCCTTTCAAAGGTTTTCCTCTTGAATTTTCAAGTTTTTCCCCCTGTTGCCCTTAACTCACTGCAGTTCTGTATAGACTGTACCTTTATTCAAATAGGTTATCTAGTATTCAGCAATGGGGAGGGGATGTTCATAAGCACTTGAAGGGTGGGAATGGAACAAAAGGATGAGTCTTCACTTTCATTTTCCCACTATAAAAATATACATAGTGGGCCTAGAGCAACCTATAGATTGTCACTTCCTGCTTTGAATATAGGCCTTTTATAGCAGAAACAAGCCTTGGAGAAGAAAACGCCACATACAATTGGCAAATAACACCCAAATACCTCCCATCAAGATTTCCGAGGGCAACTGACATTTGGAGGTTGAGAAATCACCTCCATACCTCTAGCTGGCCATCTACCCTTGCCGCATGCCACTTAGAGGGACACATGGAGACTTCTGTACCTGTGCTCCAGGCAGGCCCAGACAGGGAAGGACTGGTACCATGTACGTAACCAGAAGGAACAAGAGAGGACAGGACACACCTGGAAGAGGTGGCAGGGGCCAAGGCTGACTGGCCAGGGTGGAGGATAAAAGAGGTGGAGGAAGGGGAAGGCAGGGAGAATACCACACTAGAGATGACAGAGACTGAGGTGGAAAAGTGGCGGGATGCAAAAGAGGAACTTAACCTCATCTTCTGCACTGCTAGGCAGATGGAGTACTAGCTGGGTCTAAAACTTTGGACTGGGGTCCTGACTGAAGTCCATGTAGCTAAGGGGAGAGAAAACACAGTAGCAGAACTCCCATCTTTAGTCTGCCCACCTCACAACCACTGCTCACAGCTCCATGGAGAAGCTTGGCCAAAACAGCTGGCCCCCATCTCCATCCAGTAGAGATGTAAATTCCAAAAGAAGTGCCTGAGGGAAGAGCAAGAGGGGCCAGGGACATCCATTCAGCGGTGAGCAGCCAGCAGTATTAGCCCTTACTAAAAGGTCTGGAGTGGCTCAGGCCTGTACTGAAGACCCAATGACACCGACTGCATTTGGACAGCCTCAACCCAGTGCTGGAAGTTCACAGTTAGGGAGAGACTAGACTTGATGGGGAGGGGGAGGCTAATGGATCTGACTCAGACCCTCAGTGGATTAGTGGAACGGGGTTAACTGGCACCCTCTCTTTCTTGTACTCTGTTCCCTACTTTAATAAATTCAAGTTCAAGCAGCTCTGGGAGCTTGGACTTTATGGAAACCACATCCAAGGAGGGGATCTCCACCCTCAGTAGAGGCAGAGTGCTCACAGAAACCCAAAATGTTTTTACTGATTGCAACCAAGAAGGGGGATTATTTTCTGGACCGTCAATCAGAAGTTGCCTGCCCTGGTGTGCATACACACCAACACATATCTAAATGTTTGACACAAATCAGTGAAACAAACAATACAGAAAGGGAAGTCTCCCTCCTTCAGTCACAGATACCTATGCACTTACATAGGGACGTGAACAGCTCTACTATACCCTCCTCACTGGTCTTCTTTTTCCCATTCATCAGCCCAACACCAACTGCTCTTCTTCCCTTTTACCTGTCTTACAGCGGAACCAAATCAATGAACAAGGAAAGAGATTTCTGCTTTAGTACTGTACTAAAGCAGAAAGACATCACCTTGCCAACAAAAGTCCGAATAGTCAAAGCTATGGTTTTTCCTGTACCAATGCTAGTCTTTTCCTTCTCTTGTGGTTGATCAAAAAGCCTAGTTGGGAACAAGAATCTGCTTCCTTGTCAGTTAATGCCTGCCCCCAAAGCACTGAACAAGCATTCACTTGGAGAGATAAGAAGAGGCCACTAACTCTTTGGCTCAGGCTCATCTAGAGCCATCAATGGTGTCCCTAGCAGTCGTGGTTAAGTGGTCCACCGCAAAAGGAATTGCCATGAATTCAGTGGAAGGACGTAACTTATTATACTCTTCCCTGATTCAAATCCCATTGCCCACATATACATTCTGGGGGGATTCCCCAATGCATGCTAGTCTTTTCCTTCTCTCGTGGTCGATCAAAAAGCCCAGTTGGGAACAAGAATCTGCTTCCTTGTCAGTTAATGCCTGCCCCCAAAGCACTGAACAAGCATTCACTTGGAGAGATAAGAAGAGGCCACTAACTCTTTGGCTCAGGCTCATCTAGAGCCATCAATGGTGTCCCTAGCAGTCGTGGTTAAGTGGTCCACCGCAAAAGGAATTGCCATGAATTCAGTGGAAGGACGTAACTTATTATACTCTTCCCTGATTCAAATCCCATTGCCCACATATACATTCTGGGGGGATATATGAATAATCATCACATCCTTGTTCATCCAAAAAGTATTAATGAAGACCGCAAACAGCACATACTAAGGTACACAGCCAAAGTAGGAGAATAATAGAATAGAATAATAGAAATTTAAAATGTATGCGTGTGTGTGTGCGCGCCCGTGTACATGCACACACACACACAAAGATGTGACAGATGCAGTCTTATAATATTTATTTATTTATTTATTTATTTTATTATTTATTTATTCATTTATTCATTCATTCATTCATTCATTCATTCATTCATTTATTTATTTATTTATTTATTTATTTATTTATTTATCCATCCATGCATGTGCACCCCGCCCACCCACGAGCACACCCCACCCATCTACAGGGGGAAATGGAAAAGGACCCAACCCACAAACAACATTCATGTTTCTAAATGAAGGGAAAAAAACACTGCAACAGTAGAGTAATTCAATACCAGCTTTCCCTTAGTTGTTAAAATTGAGACAAATTTAACTATTGTACTTTTCACATAATAACTTCGCACTACATTATGTTTGTTGTCCAGTTTAATCTTCTGCACTCCACAGTGCATACTTTATTATTAAGCAGAGCTTGAAAAAAATCACTTCTTTTGATGTTAACACCCAGAATCCCTCCAGCTGACACAGAGGAATCTGGATATTACTGTCAAAACAAGTAACTTTTCCAAGCTCTGTTGATGATATTTCAACGACATTTAGCCTCTAATCAAATGAAGATATAAGAAGCAGACTGGCAAGCTAAATTGTTTTCTCAGCATTTGTGTAACCATTATTCAAAAAACCATGTCTACAGCCATATACTACATGGTGCAGTAATCTTGCATTTTGTTCCACTGAGCTTACTACCGTCACTTTCTCTTATTCCTTTCCCTCTTGGGGACTTCAGGAATTTAAGAAATTTGAACTCTTAATTCTGCAGCCACCCTTAGAGAGGGCAGCAGTAAATCTTCTGAGTTTACAAGTCCCTGAGAGCCTAGAAGGATTAAAAAGACAAAACACCACTATTTTAAAGAAGCTCAACGCTAGAACTTCTAATTTCTCCGACTTTATTAAAAAAACTGATCTATTACAAATACTACAAACATCTTCCCCATGCTATGCCATTAAGGTGAGAAGATAATTTAACATCAGAAGAAAATACATTAAAGGATATCATTTTGATGCAAAACGCACATTTTCTTTTCTACTCACAAATTGCTGAATTTTGGACATCAAAAGAAACAAGGAAATAGCCCCTGAGCAAACTGGAAGTTTCTATCCACAGTGTGAAGCTGGCCTTTCACCTCACATTTATTCATAGCTCTGTGAAGCAGCATTAAAAATAAATGATCGTCGTTATGGATGCAAAAAGTCAGAATATTAACATCCTACGGATGCAATCCTATACTGCCTTAATCAGGGCTAAAATAAGCTGAAATCAGACGTTGGCCATCTAAATAGATACGAATAAGGTTACACTGTTACCTTAAGATTTTTAATCTTCTTTTGTCAACTATTTTAATTTTCATTCAAATAGAAAGTGAAGAGCGTCCACGCTGGCTGGCGAATTCTGGGAGCTATAGACTAAAACCTTAATTTTTCCAAAAATCAGTTTCAGTAAGGCGTGGACAATGCACTAGACAAACAGTACACTTCTCCTTTGAATTGCATGGATCTCAGCAGCACAGTTTTGGTTATAAATAGGTTTGTTTTTAAATAAATAAATATATCAATAAATAAATATTCAATAATTAATTAATTAATTAATTAATTAATTAATATCAAATCTTTCTTCTTAAAAAGAACCCAAGGCAGCTTGGGTGTGGCTATTCATCTCCAGGAAGGGTAGTGGGGCATGCCAGGAGGCTGATGTGGGTCAGGGAGGGGTGTGTGCATATGTGAATCCATCAACTGTTTATGTTTTGTAGTTACGTTTTTGGGGGCATAAGAATTATACATGGATTTTGAACTATGAGGATGTCCGGCACCCCTAACCCCAGTGTTGTTGAAGTGTATATTGAATATGTATCCTCTTCCACTTATTCAGTCAGTCAGTGGCCAGGGGTAAGAAATTTAGGCTGAGATCCTATTCAGTACCCATACAGGAAAAAATCCTCAAGGACTAGTAACATAAGATCACAGTGTCTGTGCAAGCAGTGGTTGCTACTCTGGCAAAGCAGCTTCCATCAGCTCAAGAAGGAGTACCGTACATGAACATCAATACAGCAAACCACTCTTGCTTTGGTCTGCTAGACAAGACATCTGACACCCCAGAATCCTGCCCTCTGATCATGCTCAGCCTACCACAATCTTGTCCCAAGGCAGTCATTACTGTATATGGAAATAAGAAGAGAAAGGAGATAGCAGGCTTTATGGTTCGCACATTTTGTGCCCAGGAACAGAGGAAAATGTGACAGGGAGAAATCTGCCATCAATATTTACAGAAAGGTGTAGACCACAAATAGTAACTTCTCCAAACTCTGCTAATACCAGCTGCTTTCATCCTTTCCTCGGTGAGTTCCAGGAAACATATCCCTACTTAAAGCACTATAAAACTGAAGGTGGGGAATAAGAATCGATATCACTACACAGACTGTGCAAAAGTTAAAAGCATGTTCTATCTGGACTATTTTCCTCAAAGTACCCTAGAGTCATAAGCAGTTCTTCTTTCTATTAAAAACAAATTTTCAATAAAAGTCAATAGAATAAAGTAACATAGTAACTCAAAGCTTCTGTCACACAGAAATACTTCAAAACTGAGACCATAAAAGACGGAACCCTCAAGAGACACACACAGTATTTCTAGGCACAACCTCTTAGAAACCCTTGTTTACCCTCAGCAAAGAAGAGCTGGAAATGTACCAAAAATGTCATCAAGGCACCTTTTTTAAAGCCAAATAAGGGAGGGGGAAAGCAAGAAAATTAGTTCCACATGTTGAAACGATTCAGCATTTATTCTATGTAATTTGACTAACATTATACTCATGACAATATGTGTGGTAATCTTCGGAGGGAAAAAACTGAAGTTGATGTTATGCAATGTCAAAATATAAAACAGATGGTGGAAATAAACCTCCCTACTCTATTATTTTTCTTAATCTTATGCCTAGGAGTAGAGGACAAGAACAATTTCTTTATTATGACTTACAATAAAATCATAAATAATTCTCCAGTAGGACTGTCTTATTCTCAGGAGAG